AATTTCGTATATTAGAGTTATACATCGCTTATACTATATTGCATATTAATAATACATTATAAAACAAATTTAATCTTAAGTTCGCACAATAAAAATAAACTATTTTTGAAGAGCTCAACGTGAATAAATGACTTTGACGGTTGAACAAAAAGATGATATTAATAATAATAATTTTAGATGTTTCAATACGTTTGTAAGAATTTCAAAGTAATCAATACGTTTACATCGTAATTTGTAATTCCAAAAATGTTATGATTAAGTCTTTTGGAGTTGATGTTAAAATATCCTTTACCTAAAATATAGATAAAACTGATTAAAAATGTAACTAAAAAAATTCTATCACTTTCATTAATATTATTTTTCAAGTTATTGCAATCAAAAAAAAAAAAAAAAAATCAATGTATATTTATGTATTGAATAGATCGAATTTTAGGAATTATAATTCTCATATTATTTAAAATGACAAGCATATAAAATGGTAAAATATTATAATTTATAACAGTATAGTTTCGTTAATATTATTGTACTTCCTTAACGTGTGTATTAGTTTAAATATTTGATGATGGATGTATGTTCACAAAATATATGAATTATGCCGAAGTATCATACTATAATATAGTATGATACTTTTAACATATGGTATAATATTATTATACCCTATATTAATTGTAACATGTATAAGTTGGTTATTGTTACTGAACGATTTTATGTATGTTAGCCAAATTATCATAGTTAGTATGCAATATCTTTAATCATTAGCATAGATTATTTGTACGCCTTTGGCATATTATCTTTATTTAAAACTAAAAATAATTTTTCTTGTACAGTTATAAGCATCATGAATTTGTAATTTTCTTTATTTTTATAATGTACTGTGATTCTTAAAACGCTATTATTAATTATCAGAGCTCGGATTTCAAAACTACATAATGTATAAAAATCATTTCAAATTAAGAAACAAACGTAACGTCTTAAAAACTTAGGCTTTAAAAAAAATTAAGCTAAATATTGAATATTATAAATTGTAATGTTTCTGCTTCTGATCCTACAACATTTTACTATTTTCGCAATGTTCTGAAAATACCTGCCGTTTAACTGAATATTAAATTTAAAATAGCTGCACACATTCAATGTTATATAATCAAAAAAATATCAACAAAACTGAACTACATCCCACGCGAACATGATTATCAAAGTTCAGACTTCTTAAATCATCGTATTTGATTGCATTTCGTTAATATTTAAACATTGGAACGGTTACGTTATATTTCTTACACTTGTGGATTTATCGACTCGCAGGCGATTAATTACGCGAATAACGCATGAAAACCATTGGCGATACGAAAGGAAAAGGTATTTTCATAATTTCGATAACGCTAAGAGGTTTAAGTGATGAAAAGGAAGAAGAAAAAAAAAACGAAAATCAGCAGTTTTAAAATCCGAGTGTTTTTGTTCGTGTAAAATTCGCGTACCAACGGTTCCGGCGACGACCTGTTGACTGTCACCGACTGTAGTTGTCACGTGGTGAGATGGCTTGGCATATGGTACCTGTTGGTCTGGCTTCGGCTCCGTTCCTCCGGTTGTTCCGCACGCTTAAATCGACACGGAGGCTCGCGTGGTTGGACGGGAAACGGAACTTCCCGTTCGCCATCCGAGGTCGCGTGCGGTCCTGGTGCGCATAGGGGTTACATAGGGTGGTACGATCGCCCCCCCCTTCCCGATCGCTTTTTTTTTTTTTTATCACGCCGTAATGTACGGGAATAACGAGCGAAACGCTATAGCGGCTTCAGCTTCGGCGGCATCGGCACCGTTGGCCGTCAAGACGTTCACGCGATCGGTCCGCCGCCTACAGGATCGGTCAGGTGCCATGTGTTGGTGTTGAAAGCGGCTGCCCGACATTATGGATACGGCGGCAGCGCTGTCGTACCCTCGATCCGTTGACGATGTCGGCGGAAATACCCGTGCCGTCCGTCCGCCATTGTTTTTAGGACGGCAACCGCCGTCGCGTATTCAACGGATGGAGGACATCGACGCCGCCGCCGCCGGCACGGGCCGCCGCGATGGATTGCGATCGGGATCACCGACTCCGGTCCCAAACAGCACATATTGGTCCAAACCCAAGTCACAGGCTCTCGGTCGTTCCGGGTTGGCGTCCCGTTTCCACAGTCTACAACGCGGCCGCCGCTTCGATCAACTGCCGCAGCTTCCTTCCACCTGTAACGTCTTCGAGATGTAGATCACGCGGGCGCCAAGGACGGACAGTCGACTGGACAGGTCGACGTGACACGACTGCTGCACTGTCCGCAGTATGGTTGCTCGGACCAAAGTTTTTTGGATACGGTCGTCATCATTTTCGTCGAGAACAGTGCGGAAAACTTGGTTCCATCATCGATATCATTGTTGTACGATTTAAACGCTTTTCGTTATCGATATTGTAATTCCGTAGAACTTAAAATATGTGTATTTAATAATAATCGAAATCGGTGTATAAAACAAAACAAAAAAAAAAAAAAAATGTATAATTTACTTACAAATCGCCATACTTGAGTTGTAGTTGAAACGGGGATCAATCCAATGATTTTTGCTTGAAGTTATACACAAGTTTTTATAATTATATTTTAGTTAGATCGAAAATTGTAAACTATTTTTTTCAACAATTCCAACTATTGTTCGTCGGTAAATATTTTATCAAAGATTACTAATGGCAATCAAAAAGGTTTGTTGCCTCTTATATAATTTTCAAAACAACAGACTACCTGTCTGATGTCATACTGAATCACATTTCACTGTTTATCACCTCCACGTTTAAAATTCTGAGCGCTGTTTGTTGTGATTTTACACACCAATTTCAGAATTCCATTCACGGCGTTTGCATAATGTAATTTCACATAATCTCATGTATAATAACCTATGATATAGCGTTTTTATTATAAACGTCGTACTACTCGACAAAATTACAGCACACATAAGCACATTTTATAAGCCACCTTCAACATTATTACTCAGCTTTCAGAATCGATTTTAAAACAATTGTAATATTAGTTGGGTATAAATTATATTAAATTATGTAGGTATTCTGTAAATTTGTATTTCAACACGATCATTAACAACATTTGAAAAAAATTAAATGTTTCTAATTCATTAATGTTAATAATGTAATAACGAATTCTACCCGAAACCAAAAACTTTATGAAGTGAATAGATTTCATACACACACTCGTATACATATATATTTATGTATCAATAAACACACTCAAACGCATATTTATCATGCACCAGAGTACTGAGTCACTCCACCAAGTTCACTCGTGCTTTGTGAATGTAGTATTGTTAATTATTATTAACCGTATAATTGTAGTTTTGGTATTATTGCGTCACTCTCTAATTTTGTCAGTTATCTTATACCGATCGACGCATGGTCGTCAACACAATGGTGTATGTTTAAGTAAAACTAAAAAAATGTATACTTATAAGTGTAGCTTAACGTTTGCTATATTATAGTCCACAAATTACGATGTATAGTTAAAAAATACAAATGTACAAATATTGAACACTTGGTAGTGGGTAACATCTGATGTATTTCATGTACGTAATAGCCCACATACTTAGATTAGCAACAGTGGTGTGTAGTGTATATAAATATTATTTGTGTACAACAAACTACAAAGCACAGTTGAAATCAATTGTCCGCGGTATCTTTGTAGTATTTCATATCATTTAAATTAAAAAATTTATTTTTTAAATACTTATTCAAACATTTTTTTTATAAATCCTCAATATACAGGAAATTATAACCTACTTCCTCATAAACAACATCTTGACTGGCTTGATATACTATTCATGACTTATATGGTCCAATCTCATAGAGTCCGTATTTAAATTATCGCCTGGACTTAAGATGGCTTCGTGCAAATACCTCCGTACTATTGTCAGGGTTGCTACGCTACCTGGAAAGCCGGGAAAACCTGGAATTATCAGAGGAATTTTTAATTGGTCAGTGTAATTAGGGAAACTCGGGGGAATAAGGAAAAATGTTGGAAAAATATTTATAGTATTAAAATAAATCATGGTTTTCGATGTATATATATGTATACCAAACTTTATTCATTATTTAACTTTATATGTTCATTATCAATAATATTTTTTCATATTATATTTTATAACTTTTAATTATTTCAACAGTATGGTACATAACTATACTCAGTATTGGATTTCTATTAACCTTAAATATATTTTAATTTACTAGATAATTTATATATTAATTTTATAGTTAATTGTATAAAACCTATCCTAATCAATTGAATTGAAATGTTAATTTTCTTAATTCAATTATTATTATTAATATTGTTTTTTTTTCAATATATTACAATATTGCTATGATTGATATAATAAAACAGTACTTACAGTGTAAAATAATTTTATAAATTCGTCTTATTTTAACTGCTTTCGAAATTTTATTTACCAAAATGTTATGAGTTCTTATTTAATATAATATTCATACCTATATAATTTTTACTGAGTATAGTTCAATAAGCGCAAGTGTGTGTTAGGTTAGGTTTGGTTAAATATTTTGATAAATTATTTATCAACATTGGAATTGATTATTCTAATATTATAGTCACTAATAATTACAAATATTTTGTCTGTCAACAATTTAAACAATTATTTATTTTATTTCATTATACTTTGTAAGTTTTTTCGAAACGTTTATATTTTAGATACAGTTTATCAATTTTTGATATTCTCAAATAAAAAGTAAATTTTGAATCTAGTTAGATTTTTAACATTTTATTCTAATAATTTAATGGTCATATCAAGACAAAATATTTGTATCCAACAATTTCGAATGTTGCCTATGGCTTAAGATCGTAATTAGAACGTATTTAGGTGGTGGAAAATTCGAGCCCTTAACGATTCTAACGCGGCGGTAACAATTCTCGCTTTGATTCATAAACGGATTAATTTCATGCGGGTTCGTTTAAATTTTTAATTTTTCTCAGCTCCGGCACAGCGAGAGGAAACGGTCCCCTCGTGCTATGATAGCGGTGGTGAATACCAGCACCACCAACCGCTCTACAACGGCGAGGAGCACAGTGGCGGCGACGCCGTATACTGCTACGATAACAACGTCCAAGATAATGGATCAGCAGAGAACGTAGGTGTCGAGTATTACGATGGCGTGGACGGCAATACGACACCCGTGGACCATCATCAGCAAATGGAGTCATCGTCGTCGCTGTACAATGCCGGAACCACCGCTTCGGAACCAGGTGATTACTACGACTACGGTTGGGACTACGAAACAGCAGCCAGCAGTGGGCAACAAACGCCACAGACGCCGTCTTACCATTACCAGTTGCAACAACAGCAACAACTCGAACGGCAGAAACGTCGAGGTGGCAGACCGGTAAGGCACAATTGTTTGTGAAACGTATTACGTAAGATGACTATTATAACAAAACGTGTTATCTGATAATTTTAATAATAAGAAATGCATCTCATTTATATTACATTTACATTATACATTTATGTTTTTTTTAAATACTAATAATTATTTTTTTTTCACACAAAGCGACGGCTCAGCGATCCCTGTTCGACGTCTGTATATGATTTGTTTGACGACAATTGTGACGATGGTAATGGAACACAATACCAGCTCAACCAACAGCCGTACTCTGCTAGTCATTACGACAGACACGTCGGTGGAGTTCATCGAAAACATCGCAACCACCAACAAATGCAGCAGAAGCAGCTGAACAGCTATGGTGGAACAATAGCAGCAGTGGTAACACCAGGAAGAGTAGGGCTAGTACAGTACCCGTATCGAGCCTGGTCTGAGAGTGATGGGTTGAACCGATGCGGCGGTGGTGATACTGGTCAGCGAAAGCAGCAAAATATGCTTCCCTTACCCCCGCCACCTGTACCATATTATTGTGCTGCCGAAGCGGCCGCCTCTGGCTTTCTGCAGTTCGTGCGCAAGAGCCCGGGTAACTGGTGGACACGGATTAAAAACCACCGAAGAAGGCGAAGAAATGATCAGCAGAATATCAAGTCGACTACGGCGGTAAATATGCATCGGAGTACTAGTGCCGACGATAAAGGAAGCAAAAGTGACTGCTGCTCAATCACTACCGCCAAATGTACAATTGTCTCCGACAAAGACAAAGATAGCGATAACAGTAATGATTCGGGTTCGAACTCTGATAGTAATAGATCAAACTCAGAAGATCAAGACAGTGATGGTGAGTTTATTGGCGCCTTGGCCGCCGCGGCAGCTTTTGGCCATAATCTTAACCACGAGTGGACGTATCGAAGAGCCCCTGGAGACCCATTGTCCGATTGGGATATTTGTATAAGTGACAGTAACTCGGATACTGACGATGGTGACATGCTCGAATGGACTACTGAGATTATGGCTACTGACCTAAGATGTAATCAGCCCTATCAAAACTGTAAGTTAATGTAATCAATTTTATTTAATTATCTGATATTAGTTATTAAATTAAAGATAAATTTGATTATAATTTATACAAAAAATTTTCATCCACTATATAGGGAATACAGCAGCGGTGCCTCCAAGAACGACAATGCCTTACGACGACTTTAGCTGGTATGTACGACCACTACCACCATCAACAAAATCCTTCAATGCAAACGTTCACCAACAACATCAACAATTAACTAGAACTAGCCGCCAAAATCAGCGCCAGCGCCGCCAACCACCACCACAGTTACAACCTCAACCCCTTGAACCACCCCCACCACCACCAGCATTAAGTGTAGCGTTCACTGCAGTTGCATGTCCGTGGTGGACTGTTTTAGAAGGTAAGATTAGATTTGTTAACATAAAAAGTCAATAAATAAAAGTAATCCATGTTGGTTTTATTTATAAGTAAGTATATAACGTTTATTTTTATATCAAATAGATCTGCTTCTTGCTTGTACCACAAATACATCGGAAAGACCATCGTCATCGAACAAATCAGCGGCGAGCTTACCACTGCTCACGTTTGATTAACTCTCAACTATATTTGCTCATCATTAAATTACATCAACTATACTCGCCCTGGTGATTGGCATTAAACTCACTTTTTCATCATTTTACCTTAATGAAAACAGTAAGTGTAGCTGATATGAAAAAAAAATTACTTTCACACTATTGCGGACAAACGCAAAATATATTCAAGCAATTAAAATATGGTTGTGGACTTAAAAATGTTAATGGAAATAAAAGTGACATTGAAAATACAATAGTGAAGACAATATTTGAAAACCTCTGTTGAAGACAAAAGTTGTCCGACTTTGTTAAGATTCGAGGATTTACGTTTACAATTTGTAAAACAAAAATATTAACTTCTGATAAGCATGATCATGTGAGAGCAAAAACAAATCTAAATTCACTCATCACTAAACGCTCCATTTCATTCTATCACTCAGGATCGGATGGCAGAAATGTATAAATCATCGTCTAAAAAGTAAGCTTTTCAATTACTATAATGCATACATTAAAATTATTTATTTTGATTTGCTATAGTTAATTTATTGAAACATCGGACGCAGTTAATTTATTTAAATTTTTTTTTTTTTTGGTTATCCCAAAACTTGATCGATTTTTTTATGTATGAAATAAGAAAAACATTTAAACTTTCTATGCAATCAATAATTGTATCGGGTATTAGGAGGTAGCGAACCACGAACTATATATGCTTATAATATCGTGTCCTAATAGTTAAAAGAACTTAAGCAACAGTTGAACAATTTTTCAGGAACACAAAAAACATATTAAAAATTTAATATTTGATGAAATTTAATTAATATACTTTTTTAAAATTTGTACATTTTGATTGGAATTGAATTAAAAGTAAAATATTAATTAAAATAATTATACTGAATTAGTTATGGAGCTTAAGCTAAAGAAACTCAATAATTAAGCAAATGTTACCCTTTATACCAATGTCGTTTACAATCTAATGATTTTTCAAATGTCGCTCACTCTTCACATTATTGTCATTTAAAATCTAAAATTATTTCAAATATCGTTTACGCTTTTCACCAATTTTACTTGTAACTCAATAATATTTCAAAAGTTTCTTACCTATTCAATATAATTTTGTTTATTTTTAAAAATTATTCAGTCATAAATTTGAAAAAATATAAAATATTGATCACGTATTTTATTTTTATTTTATTTAACAGTATAATACAAACACAAAATATTTGAACATAAAAATGATTTGTTTATTATACTCGTAAATAACAAAAAAAAAAAAAAAAATGTATTACAAAATCACATACTAATTATAATACTATATGTAGTTTTTTTTATTTAACATGTTTGATTAAAAACATAAAATAAAATATTATAGTATTTATATAACATACTTTTAAATAACTTTCTTTTTGAAATTATATCAAAATAACTATAATAATATTAATTAACAATTTAAAATCTTTCAACAGTCTTCTTAGTAACAATATAGGCAACATATTTAAATCGCATTAGATATTTTAATACACTACTGTGTTAAAAATATAAATAAAAACAAATCAGTTAAAATTTGTTAAAACAGGAATGTAAGATAAAAAATATTTATACAACTTTTAATTGAACAAATATTATTTAGTCTTCTTCCTCTCCGTCTTTTTTGTTAGTATCTGGTAATGTATTAGCAATACTAAGATTATATTTCAATTTTTATAATCTTCATGGTATCTTTAGGTATTATTCCTTGAGATTATAGTTTAAGAAAATTAAGATGCTCCAATTATGGAATTTCTTTTGGACCTTTATAAAGCTTCTTGGGTTTAGTCATTATTTTAGGCAATAATATTTCAGCGTTTTTCGATCTTGTTTTATTTCTAATATTATACTTTTTTTAATAAAAAAAATTTGTTGATTCAAAACAATTGCTATACTCAAAAAATAATTTTATTTTTATTCTACGTTTTAATATACTCTTGATTTTAGTTATTTTTACAGTAGTGCCTAGATCAGTCACAAATTTTTTCAGTAGGTTTAAAACTGAAAGTGGTTTTCAGTCAAAAAAATCATTAAATGTCATAGTTTTTACTTCTAAAGGTCCTGGATTTCTTCTTGAACATGCGATGATAGTAGGTCACTCAAATGGTGCCAAACTGTTTTGTGTTTCAGAAATTTATTGTCGCATTAATTACATCTATTGGCATATATAATTGTCCAAAGACTAAATAAGTTATTTTCACAGTAATAAAACTTTTTTTTAAACTCGAAACAGAAAGAAATTATAAATAGAATTTATGACAAAGCGAATAAAAGAACGATTTCAATGAATATGGATACTTGATAAGTTTAGTAAACAGTTATAATTATCCTTGGAAATCATATATATGAATACATAATTCAAAATACCTTATGTCTTTAAAAAAAAAAAAAAAATCGATTAATAATAAAATGGTTATTTTAAAAACTAGGTATCATTGTTTAATACGACGTAAACAAATTTATAATTGTGGCTTACTACTTATTCCACTCTAAACTGTCACTTACGCCAATTAACAATGTTGCTTACACCAGTTATACTATTAACAAATTTATGTTATAGCGTTTGTACCTAAATTTACAGAGCAAAAATTATTAATTTTGAATAAAGTAGTCGCTTACATTGTTTAAACGTTGATAAAGATGACTTTTTTAAAAAATTTTATTCAAAAATGTAATTTCGGTCAAAAATGTCGCTTACGCCCTTTTACCTATTAGGGTTCAATATGTGAATTTATAAATGCTCATTTGGTTCTCTAATAATGCTATAATAATGATAATTTTAATTTGTGATTTTTTTTGTTCTACTAATTGTAGCATATTATTAACTAGGTGTTTATTTTTTTATAGGTAATAATAAACGTCAACACTCGCATATCAACAATTTGACACTCAAAACGTCTCAACTGTATTTAATGGCTAGTAAAAATAACCTTTTACTTTTAAAAATGGAATTTCATTACTACGAAATAGAGTGAAGTTAGGTATTTTTGTGACATAGGCAATTTGTTGAATATTTAATGTTATTCCTTAATACCCGATTGACTTGGAAATGACATTGGTCCTTAAAATTACCGTGTTTTTAAGTATCATTGTAATTTTCAAGTCAATCGTGTAACAAGGAATTGCATTTTACGTTCAACAAATAATATCACGAAATTTCCTGTGCCATGAAAATACTTTACCTCACCCTATCACTATACGCGATAATATCTCTGGCAATTATAAATTAATTTATATTATTCCTATTTCATTGTTTTTGTGAATTTATTTTTTAAAATGCTTCAGTCGTAAAAATAATTATTATTATTATTATTATTAACATTCTCGTTTATATTTATACTGTTTTAAATGTCTATTAACGTTTTAATCGTTCAAAATGTTTTTCATCTTAATAACTTATTAATATAATAATATACTAATATTAATATATTTATATAATAATAGGCTTATTAGTTTATAAAAAAAACCACTATAAAAATATTAATTTCCGAGTTCAGTTTTTTATAAACTAGTATCGTCCTCATCTACATTCTATATTATTGATAACTTAGGTTCTAATTTTGTTTAATTAACCTAGTATTTATCTTGTATTTTTTTATTTTATTTTTTTATTTAACTGTATTATGTAGTTTTTTTTTTTGTAAATGTGTTTACCTTCACATGTAAACAATGATCATGATGTACATTTTATTATTTAATATATTTGTTTGTCTTTTGTCGTATGAAAATTTTAAACATGTTGTTTATTTTCATCCTAGGTCTATCTATATCCAGGGCTGGCGAGAACTTTTGAAGACCCCGGGCTGATCAGTTCCAGGCCCCTTTTATTTACACTTATTTGGCCGAGATATACATCATACTTATACATACTTTAATACAATAAAAATATTGTATAAAAGGCTGAGACGGCTGAGGCTCTAGTCCTCCCTGCCTCACCTTCTCGCTGGCCCTGTTTATATTATGTACAGTATTTATTTATTTTTTTAAATTTAATTTAAATTATTTTATAAAAACACTTATAGACAACAAAGAAATAATTCAAGTGTCATCATCGCACGTTCAATTATTTTTAATGTTGCTGTGAAATTGAAACAATTTTTTCTAAGTTGATTTAAGCTGTAAGTATTTTATAATATCAAATACATAGAAGATGCTTTAAGAAGTTTTATCAGGACTAGTACTCTTGAAACCTACAAGAAGTTGTGTAACTTTTAGCAAATTTTTGTGTTCACAATTGTTAACGAAGAGTGTGTTTTCTTAAAAAAAAATAATAACTTTATTGAATATTTCGGTGAAAACACATTTGTATCTATAGCAGCTACAGTCAGGTAAAATCTGACCATTCCACACCAAATAAATACATTCAAAAGAATTAAACTATGAAGTACAATATGACTGGTGAGTATATTGTTTTAAGATTTAATCATAAAAATTGATAAAAATAAATAATTGAAAAAATATAAAATCATAAATTAAAAAAATAAACAGTATAAAAATGTTACTTATAAATATAATGAGTATTTTAATGAATAAAAGTAAAATAAATATATGGAGAAATCTGCAAGAAATTAAAAAAATATTCAGCCGTGTTTTTCAGCCTTAGATGAAGTGCAGTCGCAAATTATGTGTAATGGTTTTGTTTCGTTCGTAGGATTTTACCTCTGATCAATATACTCTTACGTCTTACAACCACTACATAATTATTTTCAATTAAATTCACGAATATTTTTATATTATTCAATTGGTTTGTGTTTCTAATTACGTTTTTTGTCCTTAGAACTGTATCCAATCAAAACTGAGATAACTGCGTTGAGTGATTCAAACATATCAATCAGCTACGATGACAGATCATAAACTTATTATCTAAATGAACAATCAGAAATTGAAATCTATAAATTCCGTTGTATCTCCGCCCGGAAATAGTGTTCCGAGTAAGTTAAAACTTAATTTTAATGAAACATCGCAATAGTTTACGGCCCGAATAATATTTCAGGCGCAGCTCAAGATCAATCGCATAATTGTAGGCGCATCGAACGTGCAATCAATACAGAACAGAGGATTCCGATATTCTTAACGGGCAATCATCTGTATAATATCAAGCTTGGGAAACTTAAGATATTTTTTCGTTCAACTTCGTGGGAAAAATTCATTCTATTTCTGTAAGTTGTTTTCAAACGTAAAACTGGTTGAATTGTAATGCACTACTGTTTTATTGTGTTAATATTTAAATTATCATAGTTTTCATTTTTTCAGTTTATTTGTCAAATCTGGTATACGGAGTTGTTCCATTAATATTTCATTATGCAACTTTCAAATGCAATAGCTCCATACATTGCCACTTGCGATGAATTCTTACTTAAAAATCTTCCACTACCTTATTGAAGATAAGTATTGATAACACATTTATAAAAATAAACAAATATTTAAGTATAAATATTGGTATAGTAATTAAATATGCAACGATACCTTAAGAACCGGATCGCATGCTCAATGTGAAAACCAACATTATTAGATCGGATCAAACTAACACCAGTAATAAAACAAGACTACTAATATTGAACACTAAATGCGTCAATGAAAATAACCAAACTGAATTGGTGTCTAGTTCACAATGACTGTGTAAGGTAAATGCTTTTTATATATTCTTATTTTTGTGAGCCCCGGGCTTTATAAGGTCTACACAGGAGTGGTTCCAGATACATTCTTAAGGGGAGAGGGGAGTGCTAAGTCATAATTTTTACAAAATTTTAACAAAAATAAAATAAAAATATTTTTACATTACAAATTCAAGTCTTTTATTTTTAGAATGAGCAAAAATATCAATAATAAGAAATTTATTATCTAGAACAGTGGTCTTCAACCGGTAGGTCGCGACCCAATTTTGGGTCTCGATAAGTTTTCTGTTTAAAATTTAAAAAAATAGTATTTATATATATATATATATTATATAATGTATGTCATATGATATTGCATAAAAATCTTTTCGAATAAACCCGAAACCGTACTATTTTATACTATTTTAAGTTTTTAGATTAGAATGAACACTTTTTTCTCAAACACTTGTCGTGGACAGTGGGAGGCACGACGCACGATTTATTGTTATTGTGACAATTATTGTTATAAATCGGGCGTCGTGCCTCTACCGGTCCACGATAAATCGGCTCCCCGGAAGGATCGAACCGGACAGCGAAAAGGGTAAGTCAAATTTTCGCTTGCTTTTACCACACGCCCTGCTTATTTTACGTAGTTATATGTCAGGTCGTCCTCGGAAGTTATAATATTATCGAGCGAGGTACGGAATTCCCAGATAAAACGCCGCCGCCGAGATCGCGCGACACACGTGCCCGCGTCGTCGTTAATCACCGATAGCCGCCGCCGCACAATGGGCGGAATTTTGAAAATAGGTGGAAAAAATAACAAATATGTAATATACCTATTTTACAAGTTTTAATGTTTACATAACGTAAAAGTACTAAACTTGAATCAAATTTAACATTTTTTTTATAACTTATTAGCTATATATTAAACAAATTTAACATCAAATACATTATTTTATTTAGAATCTAGGTCGGTAATAACAACGTTTTTTTTCGGGTGTAATTGGATCCGAACAAGTTAATAAAGTTAATACTTCCGAGGATAATGGTACCATTTTTTTAGAAGGATATGGCCATATTGATGATATGACCGGGTCAGATGTAACAATTAAACGATGAAGAAGATCAATATTTTGTATCAATTCGACTGGTTTTCCGAGTGAAATGTTCTCGAAAAGATTTATACTGCTTATTTCTCGCTTCCGAAGCTTCCTCAGATAATTGTCCAATTGGTAGTAAGCAATGTTTTATTACATCAGCATCATGTAATAAGATTTTATGAACACTAGCCGGCATATAGTACCAGTTATAATGTTCTATGTAAAGTTTTGCCGTGTCCATAGCATACTTTTCAAATGCTTATTTTCTATATATTCAATAATGATTTTTTCGAGATTGGGCGTTCAGTGGTCTAATATTTCCATTTTTTCTTAAAAATTCTCTACGCATAACACCTAACAAAAATAATTATTATTTTAATAGACGCAGAGAAAAGCAAATAAAATATATATGTACAGTTAAATTTTATGAACTTTAGAATGATCTAGCATAGTATTTGCAGAGGTCAGATTTGACCATTTTTTTTAAACTACCATTAAAATTAAAATTTTTAAAATTAAACGTAAAATGTTGTATTGGTCATTTATAATACTATCAAATGGGTAGTTAAATTTATTAATACAAGAAATTGACTTTAACATACCTTCTTTAGTATCCTCCATAGTAAATAAAATATACAATATTTCAATCTAATGACTCTTACCACTCGAAAAGTCAAACGCAAATAACGTAAAATATTGTACAACAGACCAATTATTTACTTATTGCAAAAATTGTTTACAACTTGAAGCTCGTTAAATAGCATTATCTCTTAAATATTACTGATAATTTTTATAACATCTTGTCTATAGTAATCTTATAAACAAAATATAAATTTATTAAGCAATTATACGATAAGTGAAAATTTTATTTTTGTCAACCTATAATCGATATTTCACCCACTGTGCGCCGTCGATAAACCACCGTCGTCGTCTATCAATTTATCGTTGACGTGATAACCGCAAGCGAGATTACCGTGTTTACAAAACACCGGACCCGCCGCCGCGACAAACACGCAACGTAAACACACCGCCGGATACACACACACACACCGCTCGCGTTTTTTTTTTTTCCGTCAACAGCCATCGCGTACCGGACAGACTTTTATTGTACACCGCTGTCGACGATTTTACGTAGTCTAACGGCCGGAAATACAATAGTAGAATATGTCCGGAAAAAACCGATGGCGCACCTCATGTTGGCCGAATTACGTCGCGAATGTGGATCCCGCGGATTACACGTATCGGGCACAAAAGCAGACTTGGAAGCCCGACTGGACAACCACATACGCGAGTTAGGGGGCGCATAGTAAAAACACTTAGCGAAAAACATACTCTGAAAATAGTCACATTATTAAGTATCACAAATATTATATTAGTAAATCTTAATTTACATCTAACTTCACCTTTATAATATTTCATATGTAATATTGTAATTTTAAATCTAACACCTAACACATCAAATATGTAACATCTAATAGCTAATAATATGAGTATTTGCTGTTAAAGCCTCAATTTTCAAATAAAAGAAAAAAAGAATGAACAATTAAATGAAGTGATAGCCCGACTTAATTTATAAATCTCACTTACA